TATATATATATATATTGTTTTTTTTTCATTTTTTTCCTTCCACGAACACTATAGTCATGATTATAAATTTTTTTTACTAGTTATATTTGTTTGTATTTATCTCTCTCTCTCTCTCTCTCTTTAATTTTTTTAATTGTAACATTCTCATGACCTTTTTACTTTTTCCATCAATTTTTATGAAAAATATCTATTTGTAATTAAAATTTATAAGATTTTATATAAAAAAATTGTTTATAAGATTTTATATTATTTATTTAATTAAAGAGATTGAAATTTTTTTCTCTTTTAAAAATATTTTTTATTATATGGGGAAGTGAAAGGAAATTGTGGAAACCACCATTTCGTATATGAAAATTTTACACTATTCTGAACCCAAGTGAATTATATTTTAAATGAAAATTTTCAAAAATCTTTTGCATTCTACAAAAGTTGATAAAAGCTTTCAAAATGAAAAGTTATAGAAATCCATGAAAGTTTTCCACTAATTTCAAACAAATACATAAAAACTCAACAAAATTCACAAAAGTCATTCCTTAATAAAAATTTATAAAAGTCTTAATTGAATACACTTCATTTAATTTCACAAATAATGAACAATTTCTTTTATTTTGTAAAATACTCTACCTATATTTCAACTTACTTGATCCCAAGTCTTGAAAGTTGGGTTACATACAATTATCTAAGGCCGAACAACAAAATCATGGAACTGCAAAATCAAATCGAAACCGTTGGTTCGGTTCCACGTTAATTCGTAAACTTTTTCGTTTTGAACCGAACCAAACCTTCGAAGCGGTTTGGTTTATGCTTCAATCCTTACTCAAAGCGATTTGGTTTAGGTTTCAATCCTTACAAACCGTCAAACCGTTTACAAAATAAATAAATAAATATTTGAAAATAAATTAGTCTATATTTTATTTAATCGAATTAAAATTTAACACATTTCATTTAAAACGATACATTAATATTAGACACAATTCAATTAAACTCAATTTGACAACTATATATCTCATTTAATTAATTAAATCACATCCAAATACTCACTAGTCATTACAACTGTGCATGTAAAACTTTCAAATTCAAAATTGCACATTTCATTTATTTCTACTAATAATTTTCTCAAATCTTGTCTAATTGAAGTTAGATCATCCAAATTCTTTTATCTTTTGGTAATCTTTTCTATGTTTTTATTGATAGTTATGTTGTTTGATTCTAATAATTGTCAAACTTTCTTAAAGTAATTTCTCAATATTTGGATCGAGTAAAAGCATTAGATGATTCACAGAAAGTCACAATGTTTAGTTATTATTGTATTTGAATTGCTTTTATTCATTTTCTTTTATTAATTATTTTATATCATTTAACTATAATAAATGAATTCATATGCTATATTTTTATATTTATAAAGAGAATGAATTGTGTATTACAATTACAAATGGATACCATTAGTATTGACTAAGAGTTTAAAATATTTATATCATTTTGTCACATTATAATGATTATAATTATATAATTTTTATTTGTAATTTTTTAATAGTACAATTTATGTTTTAATGTGAAATTTTAAACTAATATTTATGATTTAACTTATTTGATATATATTAATTTTTTTTGGTTAAACTGTGGTTTTAAACTGAAAAAAATGGTTTGGACTAGTTTGGTTTAGAAACCAAAGTAATTTGGTTTGGTTTGAAAAAAATTCTAAACAACTTTAAATGATTTGGTTTGAAAATTTGTCTCAAACCATTCAAATCGAATCGAACCACGTTCACCTCTACAATTATCTTCATCTTTTCAACAATAATAAAAAAATACCAATAGAAAAAGTTAAAAATTTTGAATTGAAGTTTTTGTAGAAAGTATTTTCATCGAATATATTCCAAAGTCTAATTTTATTTTCAAACTATATTTTAAGAACTAAAATGAATTTTTGCATTATACATGCCTGTTTTTATTAAATTGGATCTACAAAAATACTATAATTATGTTATTACGCGTAAAAAAAATGTTTAAATTACTAAACTTAATATTGAAAATTTAGAAAGAAAAAAATCAATAGTTAATTTAAATCAATGATTCATGATTTTTATAAATTTTTCAAATACACGTTTAATCCATTTTGTCAAAATCTATCAAAAATATAATTTTTAGCTATTATCTATCACCGTTCCAAAAACTAAACTGGAAACATATTTCCATCCCTCAAATAAGTTAGAGAAAAATAAGTAATAATTAAAAATAGTACCAAACGCGTTTGAAATTCACAAGAACACAGATTCAGATAATTTTCGTACTGCTAAAGTTCTAATTGATACGAGTCAAAACATCCATTCTACTCATTTATAAATCATTTGGTTTCGTCGCATACAGATAAAGAATTTAGAGAGAGAATCTTAGAGAGAGAAAACTCGAACTTTGTCTATGTCAGTAGAGCTTCCATAGACAATCAGCTGATAAGAAGCTCTGCCCATGAATCCAAGCAAAATTGAAGATGATCTGTTCCACCATCTGGGCCCACCACCGACCCACCGTGAACAGTTCATAGACCCTCGCCAAGCTCAATCTCACCCGTCCATTGACGACGATGCCTTCTCCCTTGATCTCTTCCGGGACGAGGACGACGATGATGTCAGCCACACGTCATCCGACGGTGAACTCCCCATTTCCCATCCAAACGACGCGGCCCCACCTCAAAACCCTAATATGGCGAGTTCCCAACTTGAGAGTAATGGGAATAAAGATAATATGGCAATTGATCTCCGCGCCGTGCATGTTAGTCCCGAGCCACATGTATCGTCCCAATTTTATACTTTCAATAAAAAATCCCATGCTTTGATGATCCAGTGCTTGATTGAAGGCCGGCTTGCTACTCCAGAAGAAATCCGGGCTGTGACTCCGACGGCTGTGCTCACCAGTTGGCGGTCCGTGTGGAAGGACCGTAATGAGGATACTGCCTACTTGACCGCATGGAAGCGGATCCAGGACAAGCTAACAGTCCAAGTTGCAGACACCGCCTCGGCTTCTGCTGCCGCTGGTAAAAATCATTTCCTCTGCTTCAAGAATAATTGCAATCAATTTGTTTCGCATGTAGATCAGTGGCAGGATATAGTAATATCATTTCATGGTGATGCCGATTTAAAACACTTGGGACTTAAAGAAACCGTGGAGAGAATTAAGCAGGTGTGGACTGTGGGTGCTAAATTTTATGGGATTCCTGAGAGTTATATTAGGACATATGTAGCATCCTGCCCAGTGTGCTTGGATGAGTCTTCTGGATGTGCACCTCGCTCAAAGAGACGTCGATTTGAATATACAGAGTCATTTGATGTGCCTGCCAAGGAAGTGCCCGTTAAGTTGCAACAATTAGCTGCAAAGCATAAGGTGGTGTTGTGCATAAGGCAGAAGTATATTAGGTACAAGCCCTTTATGGCTGAGGTCAAGGATTACGCTTGTCATAGGGCAGGTGAGCCCGCATCTAAGAAATCACGGATTTTGAAACGGGAGCCCTATGCATCAAAGAGGTGTGGATGTGGGTTTCGAATTCGGGCAATAGTTCCAATATCAAATTATAACGAGAAGGATAAGACATTTGTCTATGAGGAGGAGGGGACAGCTGTATTTAAGCTGTATGCAGTGCATTCAGGGCATGAGCCAGGGCCATTGGATGGGAATGCGAGGATAATGCATCGAATGGTTGGACATAAAGGGGGATTTCTGATGGATCATGATACGGTATTTGGAATGTCCGAGGAAGGGGAAAATGAAGATTTCAGGTTCCTGGGAAAGAATTCCGGGGACCTACAGCATTTGGCTTTGCAGAAGGTTCAGGAATTAAGGAATGAGTTAGGGTTGCTTGAAGGGAGAATAATGACAATCCAGCCCTCATTGTTAGGTTCTCTGACACATGAGCTCTTTGACATCACGAATAAGCTTAGAAATCTAGCAGATGATGGCTCGAAATCGGTAGGGTTGCCATCTGAGAAGCAGCACCTGGATGATGTCTTGGTGGTAGAGCATGATTTGCCAGATTGGTGTGATGATCATCATTCGCGGATCTATGGTGATGGAAAAGATGCAGATGTTATTGAAGATGATGAGGACAGCTTTGGGCGAACTCTTGGGGAGGTTGCTTCTTGGGGTCGGATGAGGACTGAGAGTAGGAATGAGAAGGATCTGCTAAGCGAGACTTGTAAAGAAGAGAAATGGTTGAAATGTGGCGAGTTTGATGAGAAGGGTATTCCATGTGATTTGAAGCTGATCAAGCCCTCGAGGCATGAGGAGGCTGTGGATCCAGATGTGGGTCTTGCTGGTATACAGGTAGATGGTTTCTACCCTGAAAATCCAAAGTGGTTTGACTCTCCTTGTAGATTAGACCCTGATGCAGATTGCGGCACCAGTGGATTTCAGCACGTATAGATCTTGTAAAGATTATTAGTCTTGGTGAACCCACTTAAGTTATCGTTCGTCCTTTGGCACTGTCAGAAGTGGGTTGTATATTCTGTGCATTGAGCTTGAAGCCATTCACATCACTGTCAGTCTTTCAGCAGTTTCATCGGCTGTAATCTGTGGAGTGTTCAATTTGGAACTTCTGAATATACTTCTAATGTCTCCCTTTTGACCATGTTATCTGCTTTTAATATTGAACTTGATTATTCTGTTATGCACTGTGATTATTGCTTCTCATTATGCTCTATTTTTGTTCACCATCTTTCATGTTGCTCTGGTATCCCATATTGTTGCTTACAGATGCTTCTATATTTATTGTTGCTGATTTTGCATTCATAGTACAGTCATTAAAGAAAACTTCTTATTTAATCATATAATGTATTAAGTAGTACATTACCCTATCTGCTCGTCATGTAGTGATGCTATTTCAAATTTGCAATAATAGCATATAATTCCATATTCTAAATATGTTTAAATTGAAGGTATCCTAATTGATTTTATTTATCTATGAATAATCTCATTCTACCATTTGTACATGTTTTAATGTCATTATGATGCACAGAGAGAGTTTAAATAATCTTTATTGAGCTGTGTTTCTATGCTATCAATAGAGGTGATAATTGTCCGCAATGGAAATTGGCATTTGTTTTTTCGACAATTATTTGAGTGGTATTATCCTTTTGTTTTTCAGTTTTATATTCATTTTATCTTCAATTCTTTTATGGCATTTCCTCTGATGAACAACGAATATTTGCCTGACCCAAGAAAGAGTTGTCAGTTTTGTTTGTCTAGCTTACAGGTCACAGATCAGTTAGTTACAGTCTCGGTTGAATGTTTTAAAATTCAGAGAGACTTATTTAAGAAAGTTCTAATTGCCGTGCAGAAGGCCATTCAACTCAGTATGGGGACACTTTTTCTTTTAATAAGTCTGCCAAATAGTAGCCCTCGTTCTCAAAATGTGTTTTATGTTTTAGAAAAATGTATTCAGTTTATCATGCCTGGCCTATGATGCTACTGCGCTCTGTTCATTGTTCCATACCCACCTTTGGATCATAGAAATGATTTGTTCTTTCTGTTTACTTCTTGATGAGGCTTTCGAGTTTTTGATAAACATTTCATGAAGAGTGCCCACCCACAAGACCAAAGCCAAGGTTTACATCTTAAAATTAGCTATAATCTGAGGGGAAGGAAGATCAGAGGGAAATGACCATAATTTCACTTGTCATTATTTACTCTCAGGAGAAGTGTCTAATCTTTTTAACATTGAGCCTATGTTGATTTGAAGCATTGTTAGACTAGTACGAGCATTGATTCTAATGGAAGGAGGTAGCTCCTGCACATACCTAGGTTACTAAAACTTTTTTGACCCATGCCTTGGTAAATAAAGAATAAACCCTTGGTTCTTCAACATTAGGACAAACTAGACTTGTAATAGGAGGACAGAGGTTGATCTACTTGTGCCAGAATTAAACAAAAGTCGATCTGGAATAATTTGGAAGTTCAAATTTAAAGTCCAAAGGCTTAGTATTTCCTTAACTGCTTAGGACATCAAGAAAGAGTTTTTTCTAATTTTTCTTAGGGACTGGGCCTGAAGAATTATTGATCTGTAAGAATGGATGAAACATATTCAATAACTGGTTATCAAAAGCCATGGGCACCCAAATATTCACAGCTTAACCATGAAATTCTGATGTTGACAGCAACTCTTAATTTTTCTTTCATAGTAAATCTAATTTTCAAGCTGAGCGCTAGATAGTTTGTCAAATCAATATGTAAATATGGTGGACTAAAGGTGAAGATGAGATTCACTAGATTTCCATATCTTCTCATGTAGGACAGCCTCACTATACCTTAGTATTTTATTGGAACTTCCAAGAATGTAAAAATTTTCACTCTACAATTTACAGTACCTATGGAAGTTCTAAGAGCAAAATATCTGAAATCATAGATGAAACTATTTTGTTAATTAGAAACTGTAGAACTGAGATGCCGATAAGTAGCCAAAAAAATAAAAATAAATGTTGAATGAAGGGGAGTCTGGGGTCAAAGTTATTTGTAGCGGATTGACCGTGGAAACTAAAAACAAATAAAATAAATTTGCACTCTCCTTGGGAGTGACCCACTTTAGGTATTACATAAATACATTTTCAAACATATGTCAGAAACTTTTGAATATTGAAATGGTGAAGGGGAGAAGCTTCTGTTGCCTTCTTGGCATACCTCGGTTACGTACACTATAGAACCTGACTTTGGGGATTCTCAACTAAAAACCTAAATGGAATGGTGACCCAAAGGAGAATGAAATTGCACATTGGTTTAGTTTAAGTACTCATAGCATTTGTGGATTGGAATATACTGGGAAAATGGTGGAAGCTACTATTTCTAATAATGGTAATTTACTTGTACCTCTTCCCGGCTCTTATGATACAGTTTTCAAATTTGAACCTACCAATACATGCCTTTGAAGAAGGAGATTTTTTATACCTTTCTTTTTTAATTTTCGATTGAGGAGCACTTCCAGCTAAAATATTAATTAATTTGCACGTAATATTCAATGGTGTCTTCAAACATAGTCTAGAGGTGTGCTTAATATTTAGACTAAATAAATTTTTCATATTTGTAAGTAGCAAATATACAGCATTTTCTGAAGCAATGGGTATGTGAGAGTGGAGACGGTGATAATTCCATTGGAATGGCCTCCCCCTCTTGTTAACAGCCCTATGAGTAAAATCCTTGTGAACATTTAATAAAATGTAATGTAGCAATTGATGAGCTTTCTATCATATTTTATTCTTTTATGTTGACATTGGTTAAGAAACAAAAATTAGCATCTTCAAACTATTATTTATAATTATTTCTCTTAATTTGGTTCATCCGTCAAAGCATGAAAATTTTGATTCATTAAATACTAGCTAACTTGAAATGATGGAAATCTTCTGTTACATCAGATAAATATTTAATTTTAAATTGAAATTTGGTAAGGAATGATAATATCTGTTGAGAGGTGTATTTGAAAAGCTTAAGCCTAGAAAGTCTCGTTGAACTTTCAAATTTGTGTTTAAAGGACAAATATGGAAGATTTCTTGAATGCTACCCGATTTGAGGCAGCTTACTGTGAATATCTTTCAGATTTGCGTCTCTCTAAATTAACCTATACGTGAGTCATGTATGTAAAAGCTCGAGCTCAGATCATCAGCATACTTGTATTCATTTATGAGGTAGAAGACATTCAAAACCATGATATATTAGCACGTATAAGTATTGCTTGTCCTGTCATGATTGTACATAAATTGAATACTACAATAACAAACTAAGCCTTGTTCCTAGTAAATTTGGTGTTGGCTAAATTGGTCCTTAACTAAGCTGCATATCATTTGAAGTAAATGGTAAAAAAAAAAAAACTATCATCTGCATCTTGCTTATAAGTTTTATCTATAATATCTTTTGACAGTGTTTTTGTAGCCTTTAGCCATTTTGATAGTAAATTCTAATGAGGAGATTCGAAATCTTCTGGAATTGATTGTACTTGATTTTCTTTTCCTCCTGGTGATGCCTTAATAGCATTTGGATCCACTATCACTTATAATATAAGCATCTTGTTCAAGATATCAGATTTATATTCGTTGTTTGAGCTTTAGATTGCCTGCCATGGTAGGGAGTAATATCAATTACGGGAATTTTAATCCAGCTTTGATTCTATCTTGTGTTGTTTATTGCTTTGATTCTATCTTGTGTTGTTTATTGGCATTGCTGTGGAGTAACATGCCCTTTTTGTTATTGCAAACTGTGTAAATATGTAAATTTCTGTTATATACCTGGTTTAATTTTTTTCTCTCTTTTTTTCTCAAAGAGGAATCAAAGGATTTCACCCCTTCCTCAAAGGGAGGCTCAAACCCAGGTCATTAGCTTGGTAAGTTTTTGCTCTAACAACTTGAGCTATTGAGGAGACATGGACATAAAATGGGATGATCTGAGCTTGAGCTATTACATACATGACTCACGTATAGGTTCATTTAGAGAGACGTAAATCTGAAAGATACTCACAGTAAACTGCCTCAAAATCGGGTAGCATTCAATAAATCTTCCATATTTGTCCTTTAAACACAAATTTGAAAGTTCAGTGAGACTTTCTAGGCTTAAGCTTTTCAAATACACCTCTCAACAGATATTATCATTCCTTACCAAATTTATGAGGTAGAAGACATTCAAAACCATGATATATTAGCACGTATAAGTATTGCTTGTCCTGTCATGATTGTACATAAATTGAATACTACAATAACAAACTAAGCCTTGTTCCTAATAAATTTGGTGTTGGCTAAATGGGTCCTTAACTAAGCTGCATATCATTTGAAGTAAATGGTAAAAAAAAAAAACTATCATCTGCATCTTGCTTAGAAGTTTTATCTATGATATCTTTTGACAGTGTGTGTTTGTAGCCTTTAGCCATTTTGATAGTAAATTCTAATGAGGAGATTCGAAATCTTCTGGAATTGATTGTAGTTGATTTTCTTTTCCTCCTGGTGATGCCTTAATAGCATTTGGATCCACAATCACTTATAATATAAGCATCTTGTTCAAGATATCAGATTTATATTCGTTGTTTGAGCTTTAGATTTCCTGCCATGGTAGGGAGTAATATCAATTAGGGGAATTTTAATCCAGCTTTGATTCTATCTTGTGTTGTTTATTGGCATTGCTGTGGAGTAACATGCCCTTTTTGTTATTGCAAACTGTGTAAATATGTATATTTCTGTTATATACCTGGTTTAATTTTTTTTCTCTCTCTTTTTCTCAAAGAGGAATCAAAGGATTTCACCCCTTCCCCAAAGGGAGGCTCAAACCCAGGTCATTAGCTTGGTAAGTTTTCGCTCTAACGACTTGAGCTCTTGAGGAGACATGGACATAAAATGGGATAGCCTTGGAGGGAGAAAGAGCAGTTAAACTCTTGATACTTTGGCATAATAACTTGTTAGTATTATCTTATTCTGCTCAAACTGATATCCTCGGGTTTTTTGTGTGAACAGGATGTTCCACATTTATAATATGTTTTGGCAGTATTTGATTGCCTTGTGAACGGCGCTATCTTTATTCATGGTTTTTTAGAATCAGCATTTCTTTCATCCTTCCTTGTATCCTGCGGATTGATATTCTCTGGTGTTTAACAATACTATGCCCTACAGCAGGAGAGAGAGACAAGATTGTCGAATGCAGAGTGTATGCCTACTCTTTGAATCAACTTTTGAAATGCTGCCTACATTGTTTTGTAATTGGGTTAGAATAAGTTTCCAGAACCGTTGATGGTCATCTAGAAAGCACTTTTTGGGTTGAAAGCAAAGCAGCACAGTTCACGCAGCCATCACCAAAGTGCTTTCTTCGCATGTTTCTTCTGGTAAAAATTCTATAGAACTCTCTTAGTTGGAAGTTCCGGATATTATTCATTAATACCTGTATGTGCCTTTGCTTCTGGTTTCATTGATGATGGTTTGAAATTATTAAGAATTGGGCTCGAGAACTTCTCAAGTTTGGCTATTTAGTTTGCCTGCCTGTAGATTTATATAAAGCTGTATCCATCTCCTCTCCTAAACACGTCTGTCAAGTTTTGTAGTAAGGTTGCAATGATTTCATTGTTTAGCTCTGCAGATTTTTTATCCAGGAAAGAAAAATATTTACGGTAGCCCAGTAAAACAGCAATCCTCAATTGCATAATATTCATTGTAGTGTATTTGACTATCAACTAATTGTTTATCCATGAAAGGGAAACATGTCCAGTGGCGCAGCAAAACGGCATTCTTTGAAAGCATCAAATTTGAATCACCACTGATATGGAAAATCCTCTCCCAATAGGATAATGCTATATAGCCACAAAGCTTGACACAAACAATGACACAATGAGGTGGAAATTGATTTTTTTTTTTTTTAAAAAGAGAAAAAAAGTCTGTGGCGCCACAAAGCTGAAAATTGTTTGAAATTTGAATTTTTCACCATGGCTTCGACCCGGCCCATTTTTGAAACCCATTTCTCTGTATTAAAACCCGTCTACCCATTTTGAAAGACCATTTTCATCGGGTAATACCTTGCATTTCCCTCTCAAATTTCCCTTCCATAATTTTTGCCCTAAATTGTTCAAGCGGCACTAAATTGAAACCATCTCCAGCTCCCTTATCTGAAATTGGGTCGAAAATAATGGAAACCATGTTGTTGAAATACTCCAGACAGCAACATTTTAAGTTGTTTAAAGAGACAAGTTCGTTTGGAACAGGACGAAGAATGAAGTGCTTCTGCAATTGCAGCGAACAATGCAATGGCTATGATTATTCGACTGCAAGCAGAGAAGGCGATCGTCCAAATGGAGGCCTTACAGTACCAGAGAATGATGGAAGAGGAGGCCGAATACGATTAGGAAGCTATGCGAGTAATGAAAGACTTCCTGTTAAAAAGAGAGGAAGAGATAAAGGTTTAAGATTCTGAACTCGAGGCATGTAGAGAAAAATATGGGCATATCAAGAAAGTAGGCAGTGATAGTGTTGAAGCTGATGCTGATGAAAATTATCAAGAAATAAAATCTCAAAATTGTCATCGTTCGATGAGAAATCAGACTGGTAACTCTAGTGGAGTAAACGAACGTGCTTATGATAGATCAATGGAAAATGGAGATGGGATTTCGGAGGAATCACAATTAGATTTCGAGAATGAACGGTCTTACCGGTATCAGGGGAGATTAGAAGAAAGGGAGCGCATAGACCCCAAAAGCTCATCAGCAGCATACATAAAATGAGTCTTGAAGTCTTTGATACAATTTAGATTCATATTTTTTTTTTCATGGATAAATTCTTTCTCTAGAGCTTTGCAGAAATATACTTTTAATGGAACAGGCTTATGATTGATTTCTTGTTCTATGGGTTTCACCAGTGAATGAACTTTTAATATTCATGCATTTGGATTGGTTTTCCCAAGTGAAATTTTGAATAATGCTACTTGACCATAGCTTTTCCACATTCTAACATTGTTACCATTTCATGGAAATCATGTTAAGCACATAATATAGGCATGAAGACCATATCAGAATTTCTTGTTAGAAGCTGGATCAGTTGATCAGTTTTTGTTTCAGCAATGAAGGAAAACATGTCTGGTTTTTAAACATTATTGAAAATTTTACTTGTTACTGTATAGTTGAATCTACAAAGCCTGCAAAATTCTATATAGATGGTGATGTATTTTTCTTGTATCATACCCATTTTCACATCATATGAGCTATGGCTTCTTGATGAGAAAACACAGTTCAAGATAAATAATAAATATTAACAGTAAAATAGTAGTTAGAATTCAGTTTTGAAGCTTCTACAGAGACAATTAATGAACATTGCAAGCAGCAGTAATCTTCCCCATTCTCACATAAGCATTACAAAAGCATCACAACTTACAAGACCATTACAAAAACATTACAAAAACCCAATTTACAGACGACTCTTAAGATGAAATTCGGACGCTCCCACTTCAGGTGATGCTAAGGCATCGACTGCCTCTGTGAATGGAGACGAACTGGCTGGGAAACAGTTTGTCGATGGTACTACAGCTTAAAAAACTACGAATCCTTTACAAAAGCATTACAAAAACCATACCAATTTTCTCCGTATTTGACAACTATGAACCCTTTACAAAAGCTCAACAAAAGCCGTTTTATTTGTGACGAACCCTTTACAAAGGCATTACAAAAGCTGATTTTCGCTTAATATATATATACATATGTTTTCAAGCTGGCAAATCCAGTTATCAACCATCCTGCCTCTGTAAAGTTCGCTGCTCTTCAGCTCCACCGTCACCACATGCCCCAACGCCTCATGCAGTAGCTTCACCGGAATCCCCAAACTCCAACTCATTGTAATTTCTCGCTAAATTTACTGATTTCTCTTCATTTTTCTTCAAATTTTCCCCAAAATCTGAAGTAGTAATACCCCTTCTAATAGAGTTTTCGGAAGATGGAGTATTTCAACATGGTAATCGGTATCAATCGAACAGCCGGTTAGTAGCATATAGGGCGAAATGAGGAGCGTTGTGAACTGAAATGGGAGGCCGAAGTGAAAATGGTCTTTCAAAATGGGTTTTAAAACAGAGAGACGGGTTTTAATACAGAGAAATGGGTTTTAAAAATGGGCCGGGTCGAAGCCATGGTGAAAAATTCAAATTTCAAACAATTTTCAGCTTTGTGGCGCCACAGGCTTTTTTTCTCTTTTAAAAAAAAAAAAAATCAATTTCCACCTCATTGTGTCATTGTTTGTGTCAAGCTTTGTGGCTATATAGCATTATCCCTCCCAATATCATCCAAAGAAAAATAAATGAGTTTTGGGGCCTTTTTGGGGCTCCGTTGATTATGTGTTTTTTTCTTTTATTTTCTTTTTGTTTATTTAAATTGCAGGGTGAAGTTGTCTGTCTGTGCATTCCAACGGCTAAGTTGGACGGAATTTGTCAATGTGGATGTGATTTGCAATTAACAAAGATTTAAAATGTTGAAGGAGTCAAATTTTCATGAATAATGCTACTTACAGTCGCTCACTACTGTAGTCATCTTATGTGACATATATGTAGTGATTAGTGATTTGTTGTATAAAATAATAAAAAACTATCATATTAATGTATCAAATCACTAATTATCACATGTATGTCACATAGGACAATTATGACAGTGAGCGACTGTAAATAACATTACTCAATTTTCATATTGTTCGATGTTTATTAGTTATTTTAGTACAAAATCAACAAGAGAAGCAACTAATGGCTTAATTATTGTCATGGGACATTATCCTTAAATGTCACTTATGTGGCTGAACTTTAAAGACTTAAATTTATCTCATCAAGGATAAAATCCATTTCGGTTATATAACCATTTATATACTTTTAGGAAAAATCCTACATGGCATTAACCTTTCATTAGTCTATTAATGAGATTGGGTTAATTAAATTAATTGTCACTAAATTTTACACATGCTTGAGTAGCAAGGAAAATGTTTCTTAGTAAATAAAATATTTTCCTTATCCACCTCCTTCAAAGAAAATGTTTTCTTCAAAAATAAGAAAAATTTGGAATATTTTTTAAATGTTGAAAATATTTCCTTTTTTTTTTTATATAAATGTTGAAAATATTTTCTTTTGTTTGATAAATGTTGAAAATATTTTCTATGAGAAAATGGTACGCGAACACTTCATTATTGTCATATATATCGGATAATGTTAAAACTATGAAAAATCAATACATGGCATGGTTGGGGAAGATAAATGAATTTATTTATTTATTCTTTTCTATTTTGTTTTGTTTTTGGTTAAATGACAAAATAATTAAAGAAATTTTGGAAAGTTGAAAGTGCGTTTGGTTCACTGTTTTCAAGCTATTTTCAGTTTTCCAAAACAATGAAAACATGTTTGGTGTGATATTTTTGAAATCGCATTTTCGTAAACAAGGTTAAGTTTATTACATAAAATTTAAAACACATCTTTGACATTTTTAGTGTATTTAGTGAAAATTTTGAAAATACTTAAAATATGGAAAATAAGCATTTAAATAAAATTTTATTTTAGATAATTTTTAAACATTTTGAGCATTTTCTTGAATTTCTTGAGGAAAAATTAAAAAGACACCGAGAGCTCAAAAGGTGTACTGGAATTCATTCCCCGCCAAGACTCAACGAACTTCAATCGCCACCTCCCTCTCTCATTCTCTCAGATCAGATGTCACAATGACTAAACAGCAAGCAAATTGGTCTCCTTACGACAACAATGGAGGGTATGGAAAACACTAGTTCGATTATGCACCAAAAAATTGTGTTTAGATATTTTGATGGCAGTTTCTCATCTCGGTGTTTTGTTCGTGCAGGACATGTGTTGCGATTGCGGGAACTGATTACTGCGTGATTGCGGCGGACACTCGAATGTCATCTGGCTACAACATTCTCACTCGCGATTACTCCAAAATTATTCAGCTGTAAAGATTTGCTCTCTCATTTATATTCCATGACTTAACCAGAGCTGTATGTTTTAAATTTCGAATCCATCCTTGTGGAAAAGAAAATTAAATAGTGTCAGTAGGTTGTTGTAATTATTTAAATTTTGAAGTATTACTTGATGAAATGTTAATGCACAAAAATAAAATTTGTAAACAATTAAGTAATTCTTGAGCAAATGTCTTCTGTCTCAAGAATCAAGAAATTTAATTTCTGAATCATATTAACTGACTTGTCATAGAAAGGGGTGGCATGCAGATGTGAGATTGACATATTTTATAATAGTGTTATTGGATGTTTTTATTGAGGGAGAGAACTTTACCTCTTCTTAGAATTGGGCACAATCGAAATCTAGAGGGAGAGATGTGCTTTTCAAAATTGTCTAAACTCAATTGAAACATTTTTAGGTTTTTCATTTAACATCTTTGTTGTAAATAGTATGGGACATCAAGTTGAGTTGTTTATTTGATATTTCTTTTAATTACTGAGGGGCATAGGAAAAATTATTTTCATTCTCAACTCAAGTTGATGTCCCATACTTTTATCACAACAAGATTATTTGATTTTTTTTAATTACTGAAGGGCATAGGAGAAATTAATTTCTTTCTCACTTTTCTGTTTCTACTTTGCAAAATGTATGATTCGAACAGATCCTTGAGTAATGTGAAAACTGTATTTCTTAGTTCAGAAAGTTGGCTGTGTAAATTCAGAAAGGGGCTATGAGATAGGTTAAAAGATGCTTTTAAATCTGCAAGATGATTGCTCGATGGCTCTCACTTTCACTTCTTGAGAACTTATCACGTATAATCATCATTATTCATTTAAGTGTTAAGGTACAGCTTTGAGATGTTCATTGTTGTATTACCTCAAGACAATTTGCTTGAAGGGTTCATGAGGTTTAGTTTTCGTATACGTTTTTCCCCTCTTACTTGCAAAAAGGAAAAAAAAAAAAAAAATTGTTCTTACATTCAACTTTTTGCAAACTATATTATAAGACCTTCCTCATTCATTTATTTGGCAATATGTGATTATTATACCTGTATTGCATTCTTTTTGCAATTTTCTTGGTTGCTTCAAAGATGTCCTTTTCTCGGTAAAGATGTAAATGTATATTTTTTGTTTGCCCGATAATGTAGAGTGGACACATCCGTGCTGGCCTCTTCAGGTTTTCAGGCTGATGTGAGAGCTCTGCAAAAGGTCTTGGCTGCTAAGCACTTGGTATGTTCTTTATGCATTTTAATATTAATTGAAGACTTGCTAATATTTATCTTCCAAGAGACAGTTAAATTGGAGTGCGTCAGAAGTACGCATTCATAATTGAGAGGTTCATATTCCTCTCTCAATTGCTAAATTTCAAGTGCTACTGGAAAGTTTTAGGGTGTCCCAGCCCCTTATTTCCTTAAAAGACTTTGGGTGTGAAATCACTATAATGTAATTTAGTATTCCTTTCGATTTACTTCAGTCAATATGTGTCAACTTTTCCTGACTTTCAGATTGATGATTATTTCGCTTTCCTGTAGCTTTATGCATTAAGCCATCAGAGATTTTGGTTACTATTCAAGTAGCTAATTTAGGATGAATAAATTGCATATGCAAACCCTCTTGTCTCTCACATCCATTTGAGTACATATTTGAAACCTTACTTTCTTCCATTTTCATTGCCAATTCTGTTTGGTGGACTAAAAACATGGAATACGGATCAATTTTGCTTTTAATGATGATTGACACGTCATCTAAGGACATAGCCAAGGGTAGAGTGAGTTATACAATTGCTGGCTGTGAACTCTTCTAGTGCTGCGAGCTTAAGGTGGTTGAAAGATGTATGGACTCATGCCTCATAATTTGATACTGTTGCTTGAATTGCAGCAATATCAGTATCAGCATAACAAGCAAATGAGCTGTCCTGCAATGGCTCAGCTGCTCTCTAATACCCTGTACTACAAACGTTTCTTTCCTTACTATGCATTCAATGTTTTGGGAGGTCTTGACCGTGAAGGTAAGACTAGTGAATTTCAGTTGGCTTCTGGTACATTTATCTTTACTTATATTGTGCTATTTTCTTTTTCTCTTTGTTTGTTCTGTCTGGGGGAAATCCTGAAGGTAAGGGCTGTGTCTTCACATACGATGCTGTTGGATCTTATGAGAGGGTTGGATACAGTTCCCAGGGTTCCGGTTCTACACTTATCACACCCTTTTTGGACAACCAACTGAAGTCTCCAGGCCCTCTTTTATTACCTGCCAGGGTCTGATCTCATGCATGGATAATCTGTGTACAATTCATATCTAGTACAACCGAGTTATATTTTAATGATATTCTGCAGGATGCAGTTACTCCACTTTCAGAGTCAGAAGCCATTGACTTGGTCAAACATGGGATGTGACCCAAATACCCAACCTACCACACAAATTCCACATTTCCATTACTTGGGCACTTCATCTAAATTAATTACTTCTTTCTCATATTATATTTATTTCATAAATATCTAACATCTTATATAAAGCCCCTGTTTGACCCTCATATTTGGGGAAAATATATGTCTTCAAATAGTAAATTTGGGGAGAATGTGTGGTTGAAAATGAGTTTTAAAAAAAAGAGTTTTTGGAAAAATGAATCTCATACTAGGAAAAATCTTGTATCTTGTATGGATGTAAATTTTCCCTGTGAAAAAGCTTGGATATCTGATCCTATCGGACCCTATCTGCCAGATGGGTTATTTGGAGATCTGGTTTCCCTTTGTCCACTTAAAAATCTTTCATTATCCAGACTGAGCTTTCTAATGAGCTTGTTGTGTGTGTGTTTTACAGGGAGATAAACTGGAGATTCTCATTTTGAATGCTAGTGGTACACGTGTGGAGTACATGGAGCTCAGGAAAGATTGAGTCCTCTCCCCTGTTTCTTTGCCGCTGCTCTTGCTGAAATGGGAGGCTTGATGCTCGACATACCTGTTGAGGGTAATTGCCAGATAGTTCTTATGTCCTCGTGGCACATTACTTTAACTCCTGGACTCACAGCCTGCATCTTTTCTTGGTAAATGTTGTGATGATTGGTTCTTACAGGAAAGAAACATTTCTTTACTTGAACCATGTCCTAGCTTGTGTTTAAATCTTTGATCAGGTTTAAATGTAGTGATTATGTTGAATGGCATTCAGAGAGTAACGGAAAAACTTGTGTTTTCTATCGAAAGTTGAAATGCTTTCGCAAGCTTGGAAATAATAATACTTAAAATTTGTACTGGATTCTGATTTATTTACTCGCCATCCAGTTTAAAATATAACATATACAGAATAAAAATGTGGGAACACTTTTGCTGTGGCGAAAATCTTGAAGTGATCGAAGTCTCTTCATTTGATGCTGCTCTTGCTCCAAATGCCATCCCTTCTTCTCTAGTTCTAACGTAAGTGCCTGTTTCGGATCAAGAAATTTATGTTAAGTTGTTACTGGTATATATTTTATGGCATTTTGATGGGGGAAAATACTATAATATTTGTCATGTAACTTTTACTTTGATTCTCTCTCTGTTGATATCATAGTCAATATTTCTCAACATACTGTAACTATTGATTTCTTGCCCGGTGGAAACAAAAATTCATTCAACATCATCCACGAACTGGAATGAGAAGAAGAAAGAACATCGAAGTCTAGTGTAAATAAAATGTTTAGAATGTTTGAAACGACATTAGCTTAGCAAGTAATACAAATTTGCTGCTGCACGTTACCACGAGATTGGGCTTTCATATTCGACGTGAACATAACCGTCTCTCTTTTCTGCTATTTTTGGACTGAATTTGTCCAGTTTTGTTGATTTTCTCTGTGCCACGATTAAAAACATGTTAAACATTTTAATTATAAAGAGAAGACGTAACGCGAAGTTCACAAAAGCAGCAAGTTTAATCAACAAAAATACCGAAAATAATAAACGTAAAAATAAAAATGGAAAGAAATCGCAGAAAACATAAAGGGGAACATAGGCTTTTCATCCTAAGGCAAGAGATTAGGAACGAACTTTTGAGCTTCCGTCGAACCGGAAGAAATCACTATATCAACGAATCAATAAAGCTGTCCAGATTGTACATCTCGTAGCACTCAGAATAACACTCAAGATTATTCAATATAAGCCTCACTAATCGATACAGCCATTCACTCAAGAATAGATGAAGATAATCTGTACAAATCACTCAAGATTATACAATTTTGGGGTCATATCGAAGGAATCTTTCTTGGACAAAATTCTTTAGATCGAAAGAAGGAGAATCGCCTCTTGAGAGAGATGAAGCGGCGAAATGAGAGAGAGACTGAAAAAATCAGATTCTAGCACCGTCCAGGAACCCTAATGAGGGTTAAGTAGAAGACCCTAGAAGTCTTGCAATCCAACGATGAGTAATACGACACTTGGCAAGATCATAACCATTGCTTCAATTGTATAGAAAGTGTGTTTTAATAACACAATTTTTACTAACATTAAGTAAACCATCTGTCTCTTGGACTAACCGTCCCAGCAGCCCAACAGAAGTATTAAGTCAGCCCAACATCATTGTGCCACATTTCTTCACATTCTCCACCTTGGTACAATGATTCCAGTTTCATCTATAGTGATTTCTCCAGTTTTTGACATCATTTGCTCTTATTCCTAATACACAAATCAGTAAATGTTAATATTCAGCTGTTTTAAAAAGTCCAAAAAGTTGTTTAAAGGTAGCACTTTGGTTCCAACATCAGCAAGATTAAATTGTGTAGAAATCTTTTCAAGTTTAATAATACCTTGAGAAATTGCATCTCTAATAAAGTGAAATTTCATATCAATATGTTTTGATCTATTATGTAGCACGGTATTTCAACTCAAATATATAGCAGATTGGCTATCAGAATGCAAGACAACATCATTTATAAAACCAAATTCATTTAAAAGTCCTTTTAGCTAAATTCCTTCTTTAATTGCATGAGTGGCAGCTATATATTCTGTTTCAGTTGAAGATAAAGCAACAATCTTTTGTAATTGTGATCTCCAGCTTATACAGGAATTACATAAAATGTACAGATAGACAGAAGTTGATTTTCTGTTGTCTCTATCACCTGCAAAATTAGAATCTGTGTTACCCCTCAAGATTACACCTTCAGATTCTTTTTGTACTCAATTCCTAGGTCACAAGTTCCTTTATATATCTTAGAAGCCATTTCATAGCTTCCCGATGAACCTCACCGAGATTGGACATGTATCTACTCAATACACTTATTGTAAATGCTAAATCAGGCCTAAAACAGATCATTAGATACATAATTGACCCCTCAACATTAGAATATGGCACTTTAGCCATTCTTTTGAACTCTTCTTCAATTTTGGGAAATTGGTCATTAGATAATTTGAAGTAATTTGCTAAAGGTAAACTCACACTTTTAGCATTAGAGATTGCAAATCTTTCAAGTATTTTCAAAGCATAAGATTTTTGGTTTAGACTTATTTTGCCCTCTCTTATATTTCTTTTTATTTCGGTACTCAAAATTTTTCTAACAGGACCTAAGTCCTTCATTTCAAATTCAGATTATAGTTTGTCTTTAATTAACTTTATTTCCTTTATGTCATGATTAGCCAAAATTATGTCATCCACTTAAAGTAAAAGATAGAGTGAATTCTCACCTCCGTTTCCTTTACAGTAAAGACAAGTATTGAAATTAATTCTTTTAAAACTAAAACAAAGTAAAAAAGTGTCAAATCTCTTGTACTATTGTCTAGGAGCTTTTTTTATACCATAAAGTAACTTTTTAAGAAGGCATACTAAGTTAGAATTTTTATTCACTTCAAAACCTTTAGGTTGTTCCATAAAAATGGTTTCTTTAATATCTCCATTTAAAAACGCAGTTTTTAAATCTAATTGATCCAATTCCCAATTAAATTGAGTTGCAAGGGCAAGTCTGACTCTAATAGTTGTAAATCTTACAACGAGAAAAAATATTTCATTAAAGTATATTCCCTCTTTTTGAGCAAATCCCTTAGCGACAAGTCTTGCCTTATATCTAATGTCGTTCTCATCTTTTTCACCTCTTGATTTTATAGCTCTACTTGCAATCTATAACTCTCTTGACTAAGGTCCAAGTTTTATTCTTCCTCAAAGATTCCATCTCATTATACATTGCAGCAAGCCAATGCTTAGAGTCCTTGCTACTCATAACATCTTTATAGGACTCATTCAGATCAGTTTCATCAATATTTTGAACCTCAATTTCACTATTTTCAATCTGATCAGATTGTAGATTGTCATTATTAACTTGCTCCACCTCAATTTCAGCTTCCCTCCCTTCAATTTCAGTCTGACCAGATTCAGTTGTGTTATTTTCAAATTTCAAGAAAGGCATATCAGATTCATTAAACACCACATTTCTACTCAAAATCATCTTATAACCTTTGGTTTCTTTTACCCGAAGTCTATACCCCTTCACCATAGCTCAAGAAAACACACTTTAGAGCTCTAGGTTCAAGTTTTCCTTTATATTGGTGTGCAAATGTTGCACAACCAAATATTTTTAGATTTCTCAAATCTACAGATTTTCCTGTCCAAACTTCTTCAGGTGATTTGAATTGTATAGCAATAGTGGCGCTTCTATTTATGAGATAACTAGCAGTTTTTACAACTTCTCCCCAAAATAACTTGGGAAGACCAGATTCTAGTAACATACATCTAACTCTTTCAAGAATAGTTCGGATCATTCTTTCAGTCAAGCCATTTTGTCGTGGGGTTTGTGTCACTGTTTTGTGTCTTAGAATACCATGCTCTTTGTACAATTCATCAAAGTCATAATTGCAAAATTTAAGCCCGTTATCAGTCCTCAACACTTTAATCTTTTTATTTGTTTGATTTTCAATCAAGATTTTTCATTCTTTAAAAGCATTAAAAGTGTCAGACTTATGTTTAAGTAGAAAGAGCTAGTCTTTCCTAAAAAAATCCTCTATAATTAAAAGGAAAAATCTGAAATCAGTATGTGTGGACATAGAAGCTAGTCCCCAAAGATCAACATGCAAATACTCAAGAATAAACATAGATTTATGGATCCCAGGCTGAAATGGTAGTCTGTTTTGCTTTCCTAGTATGCAATGATTACAAAAACTGAGTTTCTCAATTATATCTTTACCAAAAGCACCTTGTTTGTTCAAAATCTACAAGCCTTTGTCACTAATATGGCCCAATCTTTTATGCCATAGTTGTGACTTATCATTGGGGGCAGAAATTGCTGCTGATGGGGAGTCAAAAAAGTTTTGAGTGTGTAAAATGTAAAGCCCATGTCTCTTGGGGGCTTTGACAACAAGTTGAGAGCTCCTCAAGACTTTAATGTATCCCTTGTTAATCACAATATTATAGTTCAGGTCATCTGGGACACCTAAGGATATGATATTTCTTTGTAGGTCAGGAACATACCTGGTTTTTCATAAAGTCAATTCGTTATTATCGTCAAACCTTAAGGTGATTGTTCCTATTTCTTTTACTTGATAAGACGTGATTATCCATTAACACTTGGCCTCCATTTACATTTTCAAACTCAGTAAACCACTCTCTTTTAGGACACATGTGAAAGGTGCAACCAAAGTCAACAATCCACTCCTGACTAATTGTACTGTGTACAGCAATATAGACCTCATCTATGTTGTACTCTTTTATAAGCCAAGGCAACACCACCATTATTATTAGACTTATTTTTCAAATCATTAAGTCTCTTTCGGCAATCTTTGATAAAATGACCTTCACCTAGATAGTAAAAATATTTTTTACGCTTAGTCTTGTTTTTCATTTTATCTTTAAAGTTCACCTTCTTCTTGTGTCCAAGTTTCTTATTAAAATTGGCCATCTTTGGATTTGGGTTAGGTTTGGACTTAACCATCAAATTTTCACTACTAATAGATTTTCTCTTTTTAGATTTTAACCTAACTCTTTGTTTCTCAATGCATTTATTATCACGTCGATAGTTAGAGTCTCCCTTCCATATTCAATAGTATTTTTAACATCTCTATATTTATCACATATTGAATTTAACAAAACAACAACTAATTGATCTTTTGAGAGTTTCTCATCACAATCGACTAGGTCACGGGAAATTTGTTGAATCTATCAATGTTTGCCTCAAGATCAAGAGATTGGTCGAATTTGAAACCAAAAAATTATTTTAGAAGATACACTTTATTAAGCATGGTTTTATTCAAATAAGTATCTTCCAATTTCTTCCACAACTCAGCAACAGTTTTTGTTTCACCAATCTCCCTTTACA